AATTAATATATAAATAAATATATAAATAAATTAGATTCATACATATATTAGGGGATATACATAGATAGTACATTATAAATAGACTTCTGTCTAAATTTTGCTATGCATTATAGATCATCTAAAGAAGTTAAAATGAATCAATAGTTTAATATAATTCTTGCAGACGTGCACAGTTTCTCTTATGTATATGTAATATTATAATTATTAAATAAATCTTGAAAATTAATATAGGAAAAATTTGACAAAATAGTAGCTGAAAAGAATAAAAATTTTATGTTTTTTGTTTAATTTATTACTACATAATTATTACTTATGAAAAAATATATGAATTGCATTATGTTAGGCGATTTAATTACAACGAATGTTCTCGTTTTACCTATATTATTAGACATATAACAAAGTATTGACCTATCTTGTTTCAACCTATCTCGTTTGTCGACGCCTATCGCGATTATGGACCGTAATGCGGGTCACGGAAATTTATGCGATCAAATACCTAACGTGAACGGATGTCAAAGGCGATCAAGCACGTACGGTCGCTGTCTTGTTCAGCGGAGATAAAAAATGACAAATTTTAGTGACAAAGGATGCTATTTTTTAACTTGTAACTTTAGGACATTTGTACGACTACGAAATGATCTCATTTTTTTTATCTATTTCAATTTTGCTGCTCTACATTTATCTTTATTGATGCTGAATATTCCATATCTTAATATATGCAATGATTAAACTCGAAAAGATAACGAAATAAAAAGTAAAATAATAAATAAGTGCTTATAAAACACTAAATAAAGAAATCTTGGAATATAAAATGTTTTTGAAATTTTTTTCTCGTTATTTTTTATTTATAAAAATACTAGTTCTCTTTGGAATAAACATTTAAATGAAATTTCTTATATGAAACTCTTTTCATATTGTGTGTCATGGGAATTATTTTGTTTTAATAGCAAGATAATTTATAATCGATTCAAATAATTGTATTGTCTAATTCGAAATCTTTCAAACTTTCGAAAAAGTATGTTAGAATTAAGGAGACTTTTATTTGCGAATACATTTTGCAATTTCATAGAAGATTGAATACAACATATACAGCAACACCACACAACAAACATCACGAATTTTAACTTTGGTGAAAAGTCATACTGCTATAATTTCAAAACGGGCTGTTGAAATTGTCAGTTAAAAAGTTTTGTGTTCCCACGACGTACATAATTGGCGACAATAATTCGTTTTCCCACAACAACAAAGTACGCATTGAAACTCAAAACTTGAAACTCGCGGCACAGACGGATGAAATATCGGAGAAAATTTTTGTGGTCTTCCAACGTTATTGCGAGGATAAGATGTAGCAAGGGCGACGATTTCCTCTCGACAGCAATGTAGAGTTTCCATGGTATGACTATCCGTTGTGGCAATCCTATAACTCGCGCTTGTATAATCCCGGATCTCCTTCAAATTTATACGGCTAATACGGCATGGGCGTACGTTTTCACTCCTTATTTATTAACGTCAAGATTATAACGCTCGTATAATAGAGTCGTGCCAAGTTATTTTATAACAAAATTTAATAACGAAGATTATGAAGACAGAATAATTTAATCGATTCTAATTACAAATATTTTTTTTTTTATCGCAGCGAGGGAATGGGCGAATTTATAGCTAATTTTTAATAGCCGTTTAAATTTATGCGCTTTTTACATACCCAAGTGTACATTGTATAAATTACACTGTACAAGTATACAATAATATTATGCACTCTTTTAGAATTATATAAAAATTATAACTTATACGTTAATATATATAATTCGTCATTAATTTCAAATTAATTTGAATTTATTATAACGTGAATAAGAGTTTGTTAATCTTTTTATTTATTTTAAATATCTTTATTCGTCAAGTTAATAATAATAATAATTAATTTGCATTCAAATTAATTAGGTTATTCTTTACTAAATAATTGATATTTTTTATGCAATATATAAAACACAAAATTAATTGCAAATGCAGCTTAGGGAAGAATGTTGGTGTCATATTAATGTCTGCTATATGAATAATGCATAAGTGTATATACGTGTTATCCGCGACCGTATGCACCAAACTTTTGATCGCTTACATGAATCGTAAATACTTGTAAAGTTAATTTACTCTTCTGGATTAGCGTTTAAATGGAACATTTTTGTGTCAACATATAGTATGTTTTTCATACTTCGTATCAGATAGATCATTTTTCTTTATTTTGGAAGCCATCTGTATACAATAAACGTTGCAAATTGCGATTGATGCATATTCTCTCAAATATTCACGTATATACACTTTATGTGTTTTAATAAAACGAGAGGAAAATATTATCAATTAACGAGAAGAGTTAAAGGGTTTCAGAGAATAGCGTGTATACTTTGAATTTAATGTAGTAGTTGTAATCGGAAGTATGTCGAGATTCTCGTGAGTACTTTTTTATTTTTACGTGTAACAAGATCAAATGGTTTGTTATGGCTGAATTTATTCGATATCTCATTAGCAAAGAATGAATATTATCAATCATTTTATTCTGACAAAATATTTGCTTAGAAACTATGAAACTATAATAAAATATAAATATTGGGTAAGTTAAAATTATTAAAATTATTGTGGCATATACATTGTATTAAATGTTTTATTCTTTAGAGAAAGATTTTATTACTTTTGGTATTGCACATTTACATAACATAGAATTACTGAGAGTTTTGTCATATTAAAATTTCTCTCGCATATTCTAAGAGCAATAATTAGCAAATGTGCAAGCGTTAACACAATATGCTTGCTAGAAACTTAGGCACTAAAAAGGTGCTAATGACATTCGAGCAGACGCAAAGATTTTCAAATAATGTTTTACGAACGATTCACTGGTTAACGAGATTTACTTTTTAATTAAAAATATATGGAGAGAGATGATAATTTATAAATTAATTCACAATAAAAGTGTTTATCGATTTACGATGACTCATCATAGATAACATTTAACAGTAGCGAAAAATTAATTAAAAACCATTACAGTTTTCACCATTACGTTTTCACTAGTATGATATGATATATTTTAAATAATTTATAATAAATAGTATATTACAAGAAAAGAAATATATACAAAAATTAATAAGAGAGTAGATATATAATTCAATGATAATATATAATTTTTTAATTTTATAATAACTTTGTTACAGAAAGATTTTTTCTATGACAATCTAGATAACTTTTAATTATTTTGTAACTACTAAAAAATTAATGAAGGCTTGCTTATACTTTTGGTTCGTTTTTCTCCGTCTTAGATTAGAATAAAAAGAAACCCGTGAAAGCAATAGATGTGTAGCTTTCTCGTCCTTTTCGCGTTAAATATGGCAACAAGATCCTAAGTTTTTGATCACTATGGAAAGTAGGACGGAAGCATAGAATTAAGAATATGCGTCAACGTGAGGATATACTGAAGAAAAATAATTAATGAGTAGCACGGGAAAGTAAATGTACACAGGGAGTCATAAAATAAAGCTAATGGTGGCTAGTGTATATATCACGCGTTAAGGTTGAAATAGTGCTTTCTGCGCACCTTTTATATTAGTTTTTCAAACTGTACTTGCAATTTTTTGCGAATAGCTCATCAACCTAACACATAACAACTATGAAATATGCATCGTGTTTATCAATTCGAATTTTACATATTTTTTTACAGGATTTTGATAGATCGTGTATGATTTTTATACTAACAGAAGTTGAGCGTTTAAGTAACCCAGTTTTACTGTTTTTAATAACAAAGTCCACGTCCCTACGCAAAAAACGTGTTGTTTTATTTTTCGTAGATGTATTGAAATTCATAAACCAAACCCCTCGGTCTTGCTACCTCGCCGCTTAAAATGAACGAATGGCTGCGACTCGCTTCCAACCGCTTGATTTTTTAGCAGGCATCCTTATATCATTCTAGGGGAAAGTCACGTTTTTCTTTTCTCTCCGTGAGAAGAGGGGAAATTACCACGGTTTGGGAGACCGTGGGATTTTATTTAAATTCATCTCGGAAAGAGAATTTTAAAAGAATCGCTCGCTATGATTACGTAAAGACCGCTGACTAAATATTCAGTACCTGTGCTAAGTTAATTTTACTTGAACCGCCGTTAGCGGTAAGTAGAATATTCATACGATGTTCGCTGGCATTTTTTGCCACAGAAATATGCGATACGAATAGATGAATATAGTTTCATAGGCTAATTACCCCACAAAAACGCGACAGCCATTTCTACCTGGCCGTGTAAAAACTTAACGTGTAAGTTAAGTTATAATTTTAAAAAACGCTCCATATAACATTCCTGTTTTTTATTTATTTATTTTTTTTTTTATAGACAGTTTGCTGAGCATATACCACTTTGCGTTTATCGTGGTAATAATAAACATTTTATCTTTTCCAGTAAACTCTGGAAACGTAACATTTTGGGAATCGATATGTAATTTACTCAACTGTGTTAATCAGATTAAAACTTTATACATTATACATATATGAAACTTTGTTCTGTTGTATTTTGAATCTGTTTCTAGTAGCTTCAGAAAGTCTATATGCATTTCATGCGCAATGAAGTACATAATATGTGTGTGTAAACCGAGTTAGAAAATACATCTAAATTCGTGCAGCGAATATGTGATATACGATAAATTTTCCTATCAAATTATTCTAATACGTTTTATTCTATTGCGAATAGTCGATACAATAAAGAGGGAGCTTATCGCGGTAGTATATTAGTAATCCGTTGTTGAACGTCGTTATCGACATTATGTCGTGTTACTTTACGATACAATAGTGGTGTGCGAACAATTCTGTTGAATACCACTCTGGCAATAACGTACTAATAATATGTGTTGTTAACATCAAACATCAACTTCGATGAGAATATATATCGGCTTTTGTGAAGAGCATATGTACTTTCTTTTAAGCCCTGTATTACAGGGCCCGTTACGAGTGTGCAAAATAATAAATTACATTTATTAAATGGTATTTGATAAAGAGAATTGTAATTTATTGAATCTGTACGTATAATTTACTAAATCTTGATAATGAGAGATAAGAATGATGAGTTCTGTTGTTTGACTGTTACATACGACCATTGAAATAATAATATAAAGATTAAACGCAAGTGTTCTCATTAACTTGCTATCTTATTTTACACGGAAGAGTTATATAATATCAGAAAGATTGAATATCAGAAGAATAATGTATAACGTTACTGGTGTCAAAGCTCGTCGTCATATTTCAACGTGTATACGTACCCTTGATGAAATCCACCGCCATCTCGAGACCGTACGTATCCTTGTCGCAGTCATCGAGTATGTGCGCCCCGATTTTGACTCCCGGCATGATTTCTTGTTTGTTGAGGGTATCCAACGTGTAGAGCATAGCTTCCAACGCTTGTATGCCTCCTTGAGGCATTATGGGCCCGCATGTAATAGTGTCCTCCCTCTCGTGGATCATCATCAGGCCACCTAATACGACATCACCTTCGACCACCGCTTCTTTCTTCACAGGCCAAGCAATCAGAGGACTCTCCATCGATCGAAATTGACGACGTCCATGCCTGATTGGATGTCTGGATTGGTTGTGACGTAGGTCTATATCGTCGCCGCGAAAATGGCCGTGGAGTATATTCGCGCGATCGTGATGGCGCAACCTCACGAAGGTATCCGTCATCGAGTCCACGTATCCGTTCAAGTAGTTCAAGTCGCGTATCTGCGACGGCACGCGCGAGACATTCTCGATCTTCGTGACGTCGATCTTTCTGGTCCATTGTTTGGTAGATCTCGAGCGTCGATCGTCGGCCGAGCAGATGCAGCTCAATAGCGCCAGGAGCAGAAACTTCATGACGTCATAATCGAGAAGTTATGTTGCTTGTTGGTAGACTCTCGCGGATTTCCGGCCTGAACTTGTTCGTGCGATTTCGATGTTTCCCTTGTCCGCCTCGGGCTTTGAATTCACGATGATTTACGTCGCTACTCTTCCTTACCAATATCAACGGGCAAGCCCCGAACGGAAGAACGGATGTCTTGCGCACAATCGACGAGAATATGTGTCAGCGTGGATTTTGGGTAGATTCGATTGATCCCGGTTTTCATATTTCGTATGTATAACGTATATGTCAAAGGTGAGCAAAAACTGATTCGCAGATTGAATGTTGCGCCCTCCTGTTTTCAATCTGACGACACTTTAAGATATTAGTTGAGATATAAGATAAAAGATATTAATATCGAAAAATAAATACGTAATTTATTGTAATTTATACGTTATGATTTGAAACGCGTCTCGTAAATATCTTTGGATATTAAAAAAAAAACTCATTTAAATTTTATTATTTCAACAATAATGATGTTGGTTTATATCTATTTAAATATATTCAATTGGAGATGCCGATAACAAGGAAGGACATATTTCTTCCAAAGAAAATATCGATGATTATATTAAAATTAATACGATTATAATGAATAAAATTTACGAGCTTTTCAATGATTGAGATATATTTGGCAAGCTACACACGAAAGGTATAATAATATAGAGTATGTCGTGAGGGATGATATATACTATGACATATGCCACTAGTAAATGTAACAGCACATCTTGGTAGTGCAGATGCAGCATACGTGTCGCTGTAAAACTGCGCGTGATCTTCCGTTTGCATTTATTACATAGAACCTGCCTTTCTCGGCGTTCCATCCCTTCTATGTTTCATGCAATTTTACGTGTGACCTTTACGCTATCGTAACTTTTTAACATTTTTTTTTTTTCACGTTGCGGATGAAATGTGTAGCGCATTAACGCGCTTACACGTCAAAACGTTTGTCGATTTGAGCTGCATCATTTACGCACAAGAGTCGGAAAGGATTTATCGCCGACCTGGATCTCGCCATTGTTTCCACCATGACTTATTATCCCTCTTTCTCTCGCCCGCGTTTTGACGCCCGAAAGATAATATTTATTGCCTATTACCTAACACCATTTTTCTCACTTTTTTTCCCGTGTTCAATCGAACATTAATCCGGATATTTTATGGATGATTATAATCAATGCACGTTTTATCGAACACAAATGTTTTATGTGTCGACACTAGTGATATATTAACATTGCAATGAAAAAAAAATAAATTTGAACTCGTCGCGCTAACGATTCTCCCCTTCCTCTCTTGTATATTTCAAGTACATACAATAAAAGATGGACGGACAACAGATGTTACAGGTAGTATTCATATATGTATGCAACTAAGTGTTATTCGTATCCAGACGATCGTTATTCAACGCCGTCAGATATGCGATGACCGATATCGAATATTTTGATGATATGTCTCTCGAGCTTCGAACCCGCAGGTATCGTGCAAGCCGCAAGTTTAAATTGCTTGGTCACGAAGCGCCACGTTGCATGGTCGAGAAATTGTAGATAGGCGGACATGCGGTCGCACGTCGATAACGACTTCCACTTTGTAATTAAAAACTTGGACGCAGCTACATTCGCCAGAAGTTGCATCGTTCCTGTCGAACTTTCCGGTTCTTGACGAATGATCGCTAGAACCGAGATCGGCTGTAATTCGTTATTGCGGGATATGTGCATACCTGTTGCGCGGTTCAAGCTCCGGACGGAAGTTTCGACGTTCTCACTGCATCGCGTCGGAATTATGCTTTTGTGCAATTTCTTTCTGCACGCTGACGTGCGTTCTGATTCATTGAAAACGCTTGATATATCCACGCGCGACCGTTCGATATAAACACGACCAAATGTCATTCCTAGACGACCTGTTGCTCGCCATTCCTACATAGCCAGTACTATGTATGTGTATAATGAAGAGAATAGAAAAGGATGGCGACGGTTGTCAAAAACAGGAAATGTAGCTTGTATGAGAAACACGAAAATAAAAAACACAGTCTTTTTCGGATAAAATTTATGAATTTTTTTTGGCGAAAATTTTATAATGGCTGCACAATTTGAATATCCAAAATATATGTTTTGGCAAATTGAGTTTAACAACATCTTAATAGATAGTAAAACTTGAAAATTTGTATTTGAAACTTTCAAATTTATATTTAAATTAATTTTAACATTGTTATTAAATTTATAAAAACGTTGGTTAAGCAAAAGGGGAGCAATAGTTCATTATCAAACTTTCATATATTTGTTTTAATTGTTTTAACATTAATTTTCATCATTTTGACATTATTGTAGTAGTATAATAGTGTAATAGTATTGTGAAATGGTCATAATGAATACTATAATTGCGAATTTACGAGTTACACAATTGCATTAGTTGCTCTTTTTATGCCCTTTTAATATTATTTGGTAATATCTTGTAAGTGATTTTATTTATAACTCGAGAAAAATTCTCTCAATAATATCCAGCGCCGCTTTTAGCTGTGTGAACACGATATAAACTAATAAATAACGATAACGATTCTGTAGTGATATTGTAGCATACTGGAAAGTCGATTTTGTTGACGGCAATAGCACCTCGGCCGTTTATTAATGGTGCGTCGTTTTTCGTTGGATGCTAAATTTACATTGATTGCGAAACATCGGTTCGTCGAATCAATTGATTTTCGCTGTTAGTTTGCTGTGCAATTATAAACAAATCAGTATTAGTGATCAGTAATTGTTGACGACAACGCGAATATTTAATGATTTCATCAATTAATGTCTGGTAAAGCACTTAATGAATAAAGGGCACAACTAAAAAAAGATGAAACAAATCGATATGGAATGATTTTATTTCTATAGTTTTCGCGAGATCTTATATTTTTAAATAAGTTTGACTATTTCTGTTTTATAGTCAATATATAATACATAAAGGCTTTTATATATAGAGAGAAAGAGAGAGAGAGAAAGAGAGAGAGAGAGAGAGAGAGGCTTTTAGCTGTGTGAACACGATATAAACTAATAAATAACGATAACGATTCTGTAGTGATATTGTAGCATACTGGAAAGTCGATTTTGTTGACGGCAATAGCACCTCGGCCGTTTATTAATGGTGCGTCGTTTTTCGTTGGATGCTAAATTTACATTGATTGCGAAACATCGGTTCGTCGAATCAATTGATTTTCGCTGTTAGTTTGCTGTGCAATTATAAACAAATCAGTATTAGTGATCAGTAATTGTTGACGACAACGCGAATATTTAATGATTTCATCAATTAATGTCTGGTAAAGCACTTAATGAATAAAGGGCACAACTAAAAAAAGATGAAACAAATCGATATGGAATGATTTTATTTCTATAGTTTTCGCGAGATCTTATATTTTTAAATAAGTTTGACTATTTCTGTTTTATAGTCAATATATAATACATAAAGGCTTTTATATATAGAGAGAAAGAGAGAGAGAGAAAGAGAGAGAGAGAGAGAGAGAGAGCGCCATATTTGTAGTATAATTAATGTAACTTAATTTAACTTGTTTACATATAATTATTAAATATATGACTCTTCTCTCTCTCTCTCTCTCTCTCTAATATTATGCAATATATCAATTATGATATGCATATTTCTCGTAGCCGTATATATAGATAATATTATATAATTGAATTTTCTCGAACTACCTATATGAAACATAATTTATCTAATTTACTACTTTGAGATGCATTTTGACTAAAATTATTTATTATTTTTCTTGAATTAATTGTTATTTACAATTGCATCGCAAACCTGCTGATTGGCTTGGTTTAAATAGGTAAAACGTTTAATAGATGATAATTTATGATAATTTTCGAAGTATCAACTACCCTGTACCTAATTAAGCAGTAGAGTTAACGATAATGGCAAAGCCATTCATTTATGGGCCGAATTGGGCCAAAATGCTGCAAGCATCTTCATCGAACTCGCATTAAATGTGTCACAAAGCAACCGCGCGATATAACTCAGTGCTATATGTAAGATATATAATAGACTATATATAATAGACTATCTACATCGTACTCAAACTATTATCATAAATTGCTTAAACCTCAATAGGATTCCGGATCGTATTTCCTAAAGCTTTTGGAGAGAGTAAGACAAGAAGTTCATTTATTGTTGATTTTTGCTGTCGCTGCTGCTCGCTTTATAAAGTCGAAATTTTTAATGATATTTTTATGCAAGAAAGTTAGATTATATCTTAGCCAAGGTGATTAAGAAAGTAATTTATTTGAAATTATATGTGGCGACGATAATATCGAAAACTTGTTCTGAATTATTCAAGAACTTACATGTCAAAATGAAATTGCTGCAGTCGTTATAAAGTAATTTTTTGTCGTTGACGCGACATATACTTGTGCAGTATGTGTTACAGCATGTTACAATAGAGTAACTTAAACTCATAAAGTATAGCGCTAATGGAAAAGAAATGTTTGCACAACATGTATGTGACACAATTCTCATTACTTCTAAAATAATATTTCTTATTTATAATTGAGTTCCTAGGTGTAGCATATTGTTCGCGCACGATATTTTATCGTATCGAACTTAAACAAACTGGACTGAAAAAGTTACGTATAAACTTGATTTCATCTTTTATCGCTTGATCGAGCGAAAACCTCGGGCCCGAAAACCGATTAAGCTGATCAATTTCATTTCGACATCATTTATTCTTGCTTGGAAAAAATGAAAAACTTATTTTTTGTCTCGGTACACAAAAAGAACCGTTTAATGTTCTTGCGAATTTTTTTGTAGTATCAGAAAAGTCGTTAATTCGAAAAGTCGCTAAAAGAAAAAGTCTGCATTTACACGTTAAATTAAATAATCATTTAAACAAATGATTATTACCCATAAATACGGTATAAAGAAGCGATTTCATTGTTTTTTCTTTTAATTGTTTTATACTAATCATTTCTTTATTAATGATTTTCCGAATAAACTTGGATAAATAATTGCCCGAATAATACAGGACATTTTAACCGGCGATCGATAGCGATATACCTGATCCCGCAGTGATAAATCATCGATGTCACAAACGTATGATGAATGTGCAATCGAATTGCAAGCCCGAGAGCTTGGTATTATTCGAAAGGATCTTTTGTCTTCAAAAATAGCTTTTTCCTAGTTACTGTTCACCTATTTAATTACGCATTATCTTCGTCCGAAGTTTTATTTTATAGCGGTAAAAATTAATCTCGTACACATTTTACTGTCCACATTACTTGACTTTTACGCGAAGTCTTTACGAATTTTAAAATACTTTGGAAAAAGCTGTCGTTTTTTATGTCACTTGAATGCCATGCGGATCACCATCGACGTGTCGGAATCGCGAACGGCGGGAAATGAGAAATCTCATCGGCGAGTAGGAATGGCAATTATCTATATAATCACTATTGTGGCAATTGGAGCGAATTTTATGTCATATCTTCCGACGAGAATTTGCGCTTTATCGCGAAAATTGTTTAGGGAAACGTTTTGAAAAGGAGCACGCGCGCGCGTTACTGTGCTGTAGCAGCCACTGACTGGCTGGTGCGACTGCATCAACGCTACCCTCCTCGAACGTATCAACCCTCCTACCATCCTCTTCTCCTACCCTTCGTTCCCTCTCCTTTGACCATTTTCTCATAGGTTCTTTCTCTTCCCTATGTCTTGACGACTCCTCTTTTCTGTCGTTTCAAATAATGATCTGCGCTAATCTTTGTCAAACGATTATATAGTGGCTCAGTGTCATCGTGCAATATTTTGATCTGAATAGAATTGTGTCGAGAATAATAGTATTATTTGATTAAAATCTAAATAGCGTTTGAATAGTATTCATAAAAGAAAGGTATGTTCTCTTTTGACTTTAAAAAGATTTTTAGTACTATTCGAAAGTTTGAAAATAATATGCAAAAATCTGTTTTAAAAGATTAGAAGAATATTTTTTTATATGTAAATATATATAAATATATAAAAGAATATTCTTCTGTATTTTCTATATTTGAATTAAATTGTAAAGATGAGAAATGATATAATACATTTTTTCAAATATATTTGAATATATATTTGCGTTAATATTATATGTGAGTGATATAAATACAATCAAGTTTTATTAATTATCTTTATACGAGTTATTGATTATTCTTTCTCTTTCTCTTTCTTTCTCGTTTGGTAATAATCTATTATATCTGTTTTAAAGTATTTTCATATCGATGTTTCGTATTTGAGATATCATAAGTAACTTTATCCAGTTAAAACAGCGCGTTAATTAGCGTACATGATAATGCATGCGGTGCTAGCCTTTATCAACGCTTACATAATCGTTATCTGCTTTTAAAAAAAAAATTTTTTCCATGTTGTTTATTGTCCATTTCCTTATAATATTAGTTATTCGACTTTTATGCAATGATATTTTTATGCAAACGATCGAAGAAACAGATGAGAACATCTTGCTTATGATTTATCCATTACGTGAACAATTTCGACACATTAGCACGATAGAAATTGTGTCGTTATGTGATTTGCATTGCAATACGTTTTGAACGTTTTATCGTTTTATCAGTACGATTTCGCGTACGATTTTCCAATGTGTTACCCATAATTGATACAAAAAATAAAATTCTTATTGCAAAGAATAATTGTGTAAGTTAACAATCATAATAATTTGGAAATGAATGCACAATTCTATTTAAAATAGGATAAGATACGTAGCAAAATATTTCAATTGTATGCCGTGGTTAATTTTATTATTTTAATGAATCTGGCATCTTCAAGCCTCTATTTTCGAGCATTTCTAAATAACTTCATTTATTAGAAAAAAAGCGTCAATTGAATAATATTGTGGCCATATCGATTCATCGCAATAAGCTTGCCATACCTCAGTATTATCTAGAGTTTTTTTGCGAAATCGAACTCTCACATCACTCTCTCCATTACATTGTACGAGATACGGTTACATGAAGTTCGAGTTGTGCAACGAAATACGATCGATGCCATGATCAGAGATAGTAATTGGAGAGGAGACAAGATAAGTGAGAATCTCAATCGAAGAGAAGAGTTATTCAGCTATTTCACTATTTTCGAGCATTTCTAAATAACTTCATTTATTAGAAAAAAAGCGTCAATTGAATAATATCGTGGTCATATCGATTCATCGCAATAAGCTTTGTCTTGCCATACCTCAGTATTATCTAGAGTTTTTTTGCGAAATCGAACTCTCACATCACTCTCTCCATTACATTGTACGAGATACGGTTACATGAAGTTCGAGTTGTGCAACGAAATACGATCGATGCCATGATCAGAGATAGTAATTGGAGAGGAGACAAGATAAGTGAGAATCTCAATCGAAGAGAAGAGTTATTCAGCTATTTCATTAGAACGTATCAATTGCTGAGAGATCGACAAATTAATTTACTCCGATTTTATCGTATCCACTTAAAGTATCAATTCGTACGTACATCTTAGAATTCGTCGCGTGGATCAACACGATAGAACGTTACGGATACTCCGATCTATAATCGCGTTTCTACAGTCTTTAAATCCGCAACGTGGTTTAATTTTCGGTGAGCGACGCTAAAACTATACGATGACCAGTAGCGACCGTGCTAACCCGATCTGGCGCTGCACCAATTCTGTGATTAATTTATCGAGAAATTGGGAGCAATTTCTAGAAATGTACAACATCTGTTTCGCGCGGAGTTATACCCCGAAATTTGGTACGGAAGTTGCTTCCGCGACGCGTAATAGTTCACGAATCTATTATATTGTACAACCATACAAAAATACGTATATGCATAGAACAGTGTGCAGACTCGTGCGATATAATTGATGCATGAGTTCGCATGTGGTTTTTGCGATTAAGTTTATCCCTAAAGGTGGATACTATTAAAATCGTGTATGTAAAAAATTGAAAAAAAGGGTTCGGCCTTTACATATAATGTGGAAGCTTGGAAACTAATAAAAATAAGAGACGTAAAATTTAGCAAGAGATGATACGATATGTACATCGTAGTTTGATAATGTGCAGCTTGCTGTGCACAAAGCGTAAACGAAAAGAGGTGATAGCGCAAACAAAAATTGATGCATGCGTTACCATCATGTTTTTATCAAAGAAGATTTAACGACTTTTTTCATATGTCGTTTAATTCGCTCGATGGCGGAGGCAGCTATGAGTAAAGAGTAACAGAAATAAAACGATGCGCTATCCGTTCGTTAAATCTATAAAGTTGCGAATATGCACTGAACAGCATTGCAAAACGGAGGATAACGATAGCGATCACGTTCTTAGTACATCATGGCCGTGGAAAATGGATTAGGCGTGTTTTTGTGCAGTTACTTATGAGATTACCTAGCCGGAGCTAACCGAGATGGCTTCGGAAATTCGTGCCGGAAGTCTTATATCTTGGTGATCAATTCTCTCGAGGCGAACCGAGATAAGTTCGTTAAATGCCGGGTCGCAACCGTGCAATCGGCTGTGATTTGTTAAGAATATCTAAAGCTTTGCCTCTCGGATTAGCTTTCACCGAGTCACGATTCTCGAACGTTAACATAACGAGCATGAGAAATGATTCTTCTTATTTCGAGAAAATTATTCTCTTTTTCTATTATTATTCATTTTGAACACAATCTTGATTCTAAATAGTGCTGCATTAAACATACAGGTTTTCTGCATTTATCCTTTTGAATTTTCTTGCTGCGAAAACGTAGAATAACGGACATCAACTAATCTTATGCAACACATGCTTTATATTTTGTCGAATATATTAAAATTTTTTTCTAAATTAAAAAAATATATTGCTTTGGTATTTCGCTAATTAAACTGTCCTCACATCCTTCTGTATATTTTCTAGAGATAATCAAATTTATATTACTAATTTAATTTTGTCGAGTGAATTAAATTTTTTTATTGCGATGCACACTGTAACCGCGTACATGCGTATTTTTTAGCTCTTTTCGTGCAAACTCATCTGATGCACATTCTTCATTCTGATATATGTTTTTTTCTGTTTCTTCTTTCTAGTTACACGGGATTCTTTGCATTGCATTTGGTAATGAGATAAAAATTATGAGAAAAGTGCTTGTAACAAACACTTCGGCAAATACCTGTGGTTGAGACTAAACCTAGCAAAAAAGCTCCATTATGTATATCGCACTAATTTACGGAAGCTCCAGTTTAAATCTCGTTAGACGCTAGTCGGTTAATGAATCCTTGTGGTTTTTATTTGCGAAGCTATGCGCCATAATATGATCCTGTCCTATAACGAATTTATAAGAGAGAAAAGTTTATCGATTTAATTCTCTATGCTAACAATCCCTTTAATGTCAATTTTAAATTTTTTATGCGAACGTATGCATTTTCTCGCTGCGTAATTTCATTTAAATTTTTTAAGATAAAGATATAATTAAATTTACAAATCATTGTTGCAAGGATAACTTGTTTTGCAAATTGACTACCCGAGTACGTTTTCGCAATACGTGTGGAAAATGTCAACAGACGTGATATTTGCAGTGATATTGTATGTGTCATTCGTTTGAATGATTTTCCGTAATGTTAAGATAGCGTTTCCCGGATATTTGCTGAAAGTGATGACGCAAGTGATGAAAGTTTCGAAAAATAGCGAGAAATAGATATAAGGATATATTACACAATGTTGGCGTTTTCACACAAAGGAAGCAAGAGCGCGTTTGATGTTCCAATATATCGGCCACGAGCGCGCGTTTAAATATTCTACCGCAGCGTAGCTTTCTCGTAACATTGATCAACAACTCGGGACTTTTGTAGGAAAAAAAGAGGAACGCGTTTATTAGCATATCTGGAAAAGTCTGACAATATCCGAAATTTACATCAAACAGCTGCAATTCTCTCTCTCTCTCTCTCTTTCTTTCTCTTGGTCTATCGCCTTTTATAAACATTTTATCGAAGTAGAGTTTTTAAAGATTCTCAATATTAAAGATTCATCAAAGATTAAAAGAGAGTCTTGTTTATAAATTTATACTATATTACATTTTTTTCGTCTTTTATGAACTTTTTCGTAATATCGTAAAAGATATATTAATCATTTCCCGATTGGTATACGGCATTGTTATCCGCATTCTCGTTTTATACTTATAGAAATAAATTTTTCAACGGGCAGATATATAACCTCGCAGATTCTTTGTCATTCTTGCACACGAGTGAAGTTCTCTATTATAAATTTTTGTTGCGAGACAAAAATACCATTCGCCGCTGGAGATATTCCAGTCCGATTAAACTTTCATAAAATCGTTATTATACCGCTTACTTCCGTGCGGTACAGCGGTATTGCTTCGATTTTGCCATTATCTCCTACTGCGGTGCCTCGGCTGAACTGCAGGTTGAAAAATGTTGTTTTTAAATCGCTCGTCGGGAAGCAAGTCGTGACAAATTGCGGTGTTCGCTACTAGGAGTAACGTTATCTCGAGAGCTCGCGTGCAGTCCGAACGCAAAAACCGCCGTGTTCTAATGACAACGGGGTACGACGTCGTTCGCCGTGCGCCCATCAGATATGAATCCCAGTACTCACGAATGCACAATTCGGCAGGAAGCTTTGAATAGCAACGGTGCGTTTCTGCCACGGTTGAATTAAAAGGATACTTTTTTTTATATATTAAATTAGACATATGAGAAGAAAGTAATTTATTTTTGTAACTTTCGAATATTTATCTCGCAGTTAATAGTCTTCTTGCGATAATTACTAATTGTAAGATATAAGTAAATGACATGAAAGTTGTCATTTCCATGCGATTGCTACAATTTTATCATTCTTTTCTATTGGAGTACTTCGGTTGAGTACGCATTGAAAAATAGTGTTTTTAAATTGTTCGTTTTTAAGTCGTTAATAACTTTCTAAGTCTTTAATAGCCATCTTGCAAGAATTATTAAGATATTGTATAAGTAAATGAAAATGAAAATTGTCGAGTTATTTCTCCATTCTTTGCATACTCATATTTATTAATGTTAATTTATAATTATTTAATGTTAAATCAATATTGTAGCAAAGTATATATACAATATAAAGTTAAAGAAAATTTTTCATGTATTTTATTAATGATACTTCGAATTTCAAGTATCGTATGAAGCGGCTAATATCTCACGTGACAATCGCATTGTAGCAATTTCGCGGTGCGCTCTATATACGCAGAGTTCGATTGTATCGAATGCAATAATAATTACAAACCGCACTGCTCATGACATTCTCAACGGAAAATTCGGCATACAATATTAATTAACAGGTTATAAAAATCTATTGGTTTGAAAATTATCCGTTCATACCGCAAATATGTAAAATCAATCCGTTTATCTTTAACAGCTATTTTCGTCTATATGATATATATATATATATATTATGGAAATGGATGCGCGTCTCTCCTGTAGAATCGCGTGATTTTATCGTATAGATTTTTTTCGTTATGTAATTTATGCGATATTGCATAATTTTATTACATTAAATTTCACACGTCTATATATGATATAATAAGCGAATTGTATAAAAAATTGTGTGCATATATATGTACATATTTATATGTTATAGAATGTATGTTAAGAGCTTTATTACAGAAACGGATTATACAAAGTATTATTCTTTATCTTTTGTTATTACAATTTTGCTTTAAATATTTATCTTTAACGTATAAATGTTTAAAATTGTATGTTTACAAGAATGCTCGTATAAAATTAATACCGCAAATATGTAAAATCAATCCGTTTATCTTTAACAGCTATTTTCGTCTATATGATATATATATATATATATATTATGGAAATGGATGCGCGTCTCTCCTGTAGAATCGCGTGATTTTATCGTATAGATTTTTTTCGTTATGTAATTTATGCGATATTGCATAATTTTATTACATTAAATTTCACACGTCTATATATGATATAATAAGCGAATTGTATAAAAAATTGTGTGCATATATATGTACATATTTATATGTTATAGAATGTATGTTAAGAGCTTTATTACAGAAACGGATTATACAAAGTATTATTCTTTATCTTTTGTTATTACAATTTTGCTTTAAATATTTATCTTTAACGTATAAATGTTTAAAATTGTATGTTTACAAGAATGCTCGTATAAAATTATTCTATAAATGTTAAATAATTCTACAGCATTATTATGTATGTGAAGAAATGAAAAAATGGATGTGACAATTTTGTCGAATATATCAATGACGCAAATTAAAAATTTTCCTTAATGGAAAAAAGAAAACATTAATATCTCTAAATGATCAGTTGATATACTTGTTGGAATATTTTAAGAGCTCAGTAAGATTTATTTAACAAATCCTTTTCGTGTATCGTATATATTATTTTTGACAAGTTTTCATGGTCTCGTTTCGAACAAACGTTATGCGCGCATGACCTGTTCGCGTCTGTATAAGCCGCTTAAGTCCCTCTTCCGCGAAAGTATCAATAAAACCGATTACTACTACCGTGAATATCAACGAGTTGGGGTGTCAGCTGGTAGAACGCAAGCTTGCAGCAGTACAGCAGTACTTCGCGTTCACCGGCAGTTATTAACCTGGGTCAAGATTAAATATGAGAGTTGAATAGAAAATTCCTATTCTGCGCGGCGAAGATAGTCCGCATTGCTCCGGTGTGCTATCCGTTGAATAATACAACGACTTTAATTTCTCGGGTGTTATTATGAGCTCGTGGCGTGTCACTTTTCTTACAGCGTAACTTTTGTCGAGTTCGGCGCGGAGAAATTTTTACTGCATGCAGCGACTGCTTATTTTGAATTTCAGATGATTCTACATATTGCCCCAAAAGCAAGCGAATGTGTTAACTCAAAGTGATATTTTTGCGAAAACTCGGCGGATTGTAAAATTTTCAGAATTTCAGTATCTTTCAAAAGAAAAAGAAATGTCATACACACATTTTTATCCCACAATCAAAATATTATCATATATCATTTATTAGATGAAATTATGATTTATTTAATTTTGATATTAAAATAATAGATGCACATATAATTTTTATAGTTAAAGCGAGATTCCGTTAGATTCTATATTTCATAAGAAACATTCTGTTGAAAGTTAAAAAGCACATCGGGTGAAAAGTAAAAAAGCGCTCTATGTTACAGTACAAATCATCAACATTTATTGCTGCGATATTTTTTATAGTTATATTAGCGATAAAACGCGCAGAAACGCCAACATAAGATAAATCTTCTAATTTATCGTACGCTGGCGTTTCCGCGCGTTTCTGTGAAATTGTCGTTACCTCGCGGAAAGCTCGATGAAATCTTCTCGACTGAAAGCTTACCGACAGCAGATCATACCTTTTCAAGAATGTAGAACGTTGGCCTACTGATGTTTACTACCGCTTTATTTATTCTTGATAAATATAAACCTCTCTACCTACCTACCTTTAAATACAAAAGTAGCCTTAACTAATGTTGCTCCCGCTATCTGCAATCTTTGTTAAGGCCTCAAATAAAAATATATTTGCCGTTTGAATAAATTTAGAATTATGATTTTTTTTGCTTGCAATATTATATTTTTTTATTTTTTATTTTTTAATACGCAGGAGGAAATTAAAACGGTAAAACAAACGGAGTATCGCGAATATGCATTATTCATAGATGTTAATAAAGATCGAAACCAGTTTTAAAGGCAATTCCTCTCTATTCTCCATCAAATGAACGCGTTCAAAAGGAGTAATAGTGTTACTTTTAATGCATATGTATATATGCTTTTCATCTCAAGCATATAAATCTAATAGTTGCGCTGCATCAAGGCGATAACGAAATAAGTCAATACAAGTTCGTTCTACCAGAAATTATGCCGCGGTGGTTTTGCTAGCGTAATTTCCTGGCTGGAAATTTCTCCCAAGATATTATAGGGCCGCATCGTCATAACGCTTTCATCAAATGGCTGCAGTATATCGGAAATTCTCTTCGAAGAATACTCAATATTCATACGAGGTTTCGCTCGATTTTAGCAAACAAAAAAAATTTAAACTTAGGGGTTTTTATATAAAATTTAAGTTAGTTTTTATATAAAATATGAAAAAGCAATTACACATAAGAATTAAGCTAGTAAAAATAAAAACATTAATAAAAAGTAAGTTAAAATGAGAATAAATAATATTGCAGAAAGATTTATGCCAGAAAAATTATTGTCGTATTTTTCGAATCAATTTATAGCAAGGGATAGAAACAGATATAAAAATTGCAAGATTTATAAATTTTTCATGCCTTGAGCTTTGCGATATCATTATGTCTGATAAAATATCTGATAAAATTTTGCTATATGGAACACGCACACACACGACGATAAAATTACGAGCAATATGCATAAATAAGCATGTAATCAGGCTTCGCGACGCTTACGTACCCTTAATGAAATCCACCGCCATCTCAAGACCGTACGTATCCTTGTCGCAGTCGTCGAGTATGTGCGCCCCGATCTTGACGCCCGGCACGATCTCCCGATCGTTGAGCTTATCCAATGTATATAGCATAGCCTCTAATGCCTGTATGCCACCCTGAGGCATTATGGGTCCGCATGTAATTGTGTCCTCCCTTTCATGCACCATCATCAGTCCACCGAGAACGAGATCACCTTCTACCACCGCGCTGTGCTTTACGGGCCACTGCTCAGAGAGCGCGTCGTCGGTCGATGAATCATTGACATTCTCCGTCGTGATGTCCTCCAAGACATTTCGAGGGGAATTGATGCTCCTTTGAGGAAACGGTTCGACTGTAGAGATGATCGAGCCGTTTCCATGCATTCCGTATTTCTCTCGTAAATTAATGGGTTTAATTAACGACATGTCGAAGACACTCCTATTCGTAGTGTTGAATACTTGCAGATTTATTTCTGGTGCCGAGGAAATTTCTTTCAGAATAACGGAATTGTCTATTTTAGTGATTGCCGTCGATCGATCAAGCGTCTTGATTAGAAACGCCGGCGCGTCTATCGAGCTGACGTTGAATGTTTTCGGAATATCTACTAGCATTGTCTCTAATGAATCAGATCCGTTGGAACCCGTTCCCGCCGAGGCATATGTATGTTGTAACTCGTAATCGGTAGTCGTCGACGGAATCGATTGCCATTCTTTCGGGAATTCTCGATATCCCGAAGACGGCAGTGTTTTTACAGTTGTGAGAAAATTCGCGTTAGTTGATATCTGATCCATATTACTTGCTTGAGTGACCGAAACGGATGGATTGGTTGTAAATTTAATCAGAAAGTTCGATGTTGTTGGTCTTATCGTATCGAACGTCTTCCACGTCTCACTATCGAGCTCAGTTGATGTCGGATTCCCCAGAGAATTTCGAATTTCGTGACGTTTGTATCGTCGATACTTTGAATTATGGATACCGCTACTTTGTGAATAAAATCCAGATTCTTCATGTATGTCAGGATGATTTCCATCTCGACTCCTAATTCTGACGTTTTCTAATCCCAGCTCATCCGTAGGTTTACCCGATGACTGCGCATATCCATTAATCACCCGCATCTCGGTCGGATTATCGCCGACATTCGTTGCATCGAGAGAGATAGATTCGTTCTCGGTTAAAGTTCTTCGAAGTTCTCCATCACGTTCCGATCTTCCATCAATTATCTTAGTGATGCGTTGCGGCTGTGCATCGATATCGATCGCATCGAATTTCCGCAAATATTTTACACGACTATGAGCTTTCTGGTCGAGGGGTTTACCGAATTTTGCGAGCCTCGATGAACCGGAGACATTCCATAGGCCGAACCGAAACGCGTTACTAACTTGGGCTTCGTAATCAGTCGTCCGTGGATGCTTGCAGTCCGAGTTGGACCTCACGTATCGTGCATGCATCGGATTCCTCTCCTGCGTGATTGAAATACGCGCTGATGTTGGATATTCTAACTTTGCTCTGTCGATTCCCGTGGCGAATAAATTAGTTGGTAACAGATCACGTTCGGTTTCAAGGTCGTTGCGCGTCGCATAATTTGCACCAGCGATAATTTCTCTCTCTCTCGTTCTTTTTTGTATCTGCAATTTGTTAAGATCTGTCGCTTTTTTATTTATTCTTGCGCCTATATTTTTTATAAAAGATTGATATTCACGTCGCGAGCCAGGTGTCTTCCGTGCCATCTTCAAAGCGTTCTTTTCTTTTTGTAAAGAAAAACCTTTCATAAAACTGACGCTTCTTTCCCCAGCGAAATGACTATCGAGTGAATTCGGTAAGTGAAACGTGAACGAATCGACAATATCGCCGACGTTCCCTTTTCTGTCTTCGCGCGCATCTGTATTGACTTTAAGCCCTATCTTTGAATATTGGTGGCGTTTGTAAGTTTCGCTTACTGGAAATCCACCTGTTTTATAGGATTTCGAATATTCGTTCTTCGGGGAATGATAGGGATTTACCCTGTTTTCTTTGTTACCAACTTCTCTGTTTGCGTTTGAGATTTTGGAGTTGAAGATTAACGTAGTCCAGGCGACTGTCACGGAACGCTTGTACGGCGAATTCTCCGTAAGTGTATTGTCTGTAACAGAACCCACATTCCCAAGATTCTGATTTTCTTTTAATCTCGAATACTTTGGGAAAGTTGTCTCCAATATCCGAGATCCGTCGTTAGCTTCAACATTCACGTACATCAATTTATCCGTGCCGTTTTTCGTCAAACTTTGGCGAGAATTTTCGTCGTTTCTATTATATTCACGTTTCTCGTCGGCGCGCCTTAACTCGGTGTTTTCAATAGTTTCTAACTTTAAGATATCGGAATTTTTAAATTCTCGTATAGAACTGCCGTTGCGCGAGTGCTTTGTGAATTCGTCGGGGAAGAATGCGGTCCCTCCGTTTTCTCTGCTAAAGATTCGCTCCCTTTTGTGCTTTTTCCTGTGCCATTCCCTTTTCTTGTCAAACGCCCGAGTGTCGCGTCTTATCTTTGCTGCCTTTTTACGATCGTTCGAGAATGTGTAGATCGTTTTTTCTTTACTTCTTTTCTTCCTCAAAGTACTTTTCGATTCATGGGACGGTGGTACATGCAGATTGGATACAAATTTATATTTTTTTGTATTTCTCGATTTTTCCATAATGATGATGTTTAATAACCACGTATTTTTTGTTGCTACTTTTTTTGTAGTCAGCCAAGAATTTTTATCAGAATCAGTGTCTTTTGAATACCCTGGCATAGCTATTGCATTTGCCACCGTGTCGTCCTTTTCATAGCCACTGAGTCGTAAATCGCGATTTTCCATGTTTTTGAATTCCAGGAAAACTGCTTTCGTATGCATCGACAAATGATCATTCGATTTGAAATTCTTTTTTGCGTGTCGTAATATAGAATCGTAAATTGCTTTTCTATCGAAAGTAGAGGATGCTGATCCTTGGTGAACTTTATAGGAAGTGTATTCATTGTTGATTTGTAGATTATTGAAGATCCATTCACCAGTTAAGCCGCTATTCAAAATCAGAAAGATCGTCCATGTAGCCAGAATGGCCATCCAACCAAAGTTTCGCCACATCACCTTTTCGTTGCATTAATCATTGCCAAATTCTGGAAAAAATGCAAAATGTTATGTGTTAATTACAATTATATTTACTACAAAATTCAGTTTATAAAATTTGTTGATTTTTTCATATTATATGTATGCATTAAATTTGGAACCTAAGTCAGAAATAAACGCGTGTCTTCTTGGAAAGCGTGCGTTTAATTTGGGGTTCTGATAAATTCTGAACCATGATGTATACTATTTGCCCCTTCCCTAAACTTACTCAAATATAATATTAATATATATAATATATATATATATATATATTAATGACCAATATCATGCTCTTTAACTGTATCAAAAAATTAATTTCGGATATATTGTCTCTCTTTCTTTCTTTCGTTTTAATGATATTGGTCATTAATTTAATGTTTATTAATTAGTTTAGTAATGATTGGTGCGCACGATACATGCACAATATCCATCATGTTCAAATAGTGCGACAAAATATATAACTTTGTCGCTTGTCACACTATTGTGGTATTTGTAATTTGATTTGAACGCAGTGTTCAGACGGATCCACAACTATGCGTTACTATTGCTTGCGGACGGTGCGGTTCTCTAATTTTGGTGCATTCCATTGCGCCGCTCAGCTAAAGGGGATCTATGTGTGGCCTTGTCTCACCTCGTCTATCGAGCGACGCTAACGAGTCAGTCGCAATTACCTTTTGCTAAATCACTTTGAGTCTCATTTTAATCGAGACGGAAATTTCCTCGGATTCCGCCTTACTTTTGAGCTACGGGTTTGCTCTTTGCAATTAAGGAACCCGATTAACATTCGAGCTTACACCGCTGCATGTCACTGACGTGTGCATATTTATTAAATGTACGATATTTATGCAATTAAATGTTTAAGTGTGCAAACTATATTCATGTTTACATCTTGTATTTTTTTTTAATATATCATATTCTTAATTAAATGTTGATACATCATTATAACATTATTAAATTATGTATTAAAGAGCATGTTATATATCGATATATTATATTTGAGTAAACTTTGGGGAGGGGGGGCAAATAGGGTACATCATGGTTCTCAATTTATCAGAAATCCAAATTACACGCACACTTTTCAAGAAGACACACGTTTATTTCTAACTTAGATTTCAAATTTAAGCTTAACAATGTATAAGTAATATATACATATGAACTATAAGTGATTTAAATATACATATTGATGTGTTAGATGCACTACAACCTACAAAACAATATTTTCTAACACATTTTCTTAATAAATTTATCATTATTACTTACTTTTTTATTGTTGTTAGATCAGGATTAAATTTTTGAAAATATTTTTATACATGTCGTTATGTGTGCCATAATATACTCGCCAACAAAATTAAAGCACTTTGAATTGGCCGAAAAAATGAAATTTAATGTATGTAACTTTGCGAAAAATGATTATAGAGCAATATGTTTCTCAAAGCATTTTAAAGCTGATGATCTCAGTTTTTAAAAGCTGTCAAACTCTTTACTTGATGATCCTTCTTTAGATAATATCATTTTCAAATTAATCGCGGCAAAAGTTGATAGAAAAACTTTAAGATTATATATGCAGAAAAAGAAAATTTTCAAAATTTTGCTTTAAACAATTTAAAAGCTTTAAGTTTTTCCTTTTTCAAAAATTAAGCTGCGATTTGTTTTTTTAATCAAACTATCGCGAATTAAAATGATTAGTGCACTTTCAGCTCTTTTCAGTAGAAATCTTTAATATATCGCCGACATTAATATTATCCAGTTATATCACGTGGAAGTAGCACGGTCGGGATTACATTTCATGAGTATGGGTGAGTGAATGATTATACACATTTCGTCCCGCGGGCATATACAAACGAGCACACACACAACAGAGAGGGTTTGAAGTTATTAAACACTACGAAAGAATCAAATTGTGGAGTCTCCTTATCTCTACCGTGACCTGCGCGCGCGCACATACAAGATGTAAGTTTGATCGTGCTATCTCTACGTAGTATACGTTGAGTAATGCTAATTTCTGGCAGCATATTAGAGATTTCTAGAGAAGAGAGCCGGGAATGTACTACTTATTTCAACTCGCGATAACTTGATAAAAGAAAATTACAATCTAATTAAAAAAAAAAAACATTTTAAAGAGAAGACCTCAAGTTTTAAACTATTTGAAACAAAGTTAAATCAAATTTTTTTTTCTGCATATATAATCTTAAAGTTAAAGTTTTCCTGTCAATTTTTCGCAAAGTCGACTTAGAAGTGATGTTATTTTGAGAATAATTATCGTCGGAAAAAGAACTTGACAGCGTGTGAAAATGAAAACTGAGTCTTCCAGTTTTAATATTTCAGAACCTTTCAGAAACATCGCTCTCACTATATTTGAATTTCATCATTTTTTGGATCAATTTCTAATGCTTTAATTTTGTTGAAGAGCATATTTTATTAAAAACAATTTTTTTTATAAAAAAAAAAAATAAATTATTTTTTATATTTATTAGATTTATAAAACATAATATGCGTGCGCGCGTGTGCGTGTATGTATGTGTGTATTGAGAAACATATTTTTAAGATATTTTTATATGAGATTGATTTTATTATATAGGAATGCAAAAATTTATATAATTATTAAAATTAATACATATGTTGGTATCTTTTATAAGGAAATAAGTATGCTAATTGTTTGTGACTTATTTTTTATATAAATTTCATTGTTAATTATTAAAGTTTAGAATTATGATAGTATAAAAACGTCAATATTTATTGTTAATGTCAATACTTTTTAATGCAATAGGTTAATGCGACTTGTATTGGGATGGACCAAGCAGATCAAGAAGGGCTTATATATTGAGTGAGTAATTCTTACCTCTTTGGCATTGATCGATAATTAACGATTAGAGTCATAAACTTTTAGAATTTGTTTAGTGATATTCATTTTATTTGTTTGATATGATATTTTTACCGATTTATATGTCTTGTGTGAGTATATTTTTACTTATTATATTAAAAGTCGATGACAGAAAATATCTTTAAAAAGTGATATTATTATTTTTCTAGCTTGAAGAATATTACAAGTAAACGCGATATGAAATGATACGCTTTTGCAAGAGCTTGCAGTTAAACGTGTCACATAAACTGCAGCTACGACCGACTTTATGTTGCACGTTCCCGCATCGCTGAAAGAGCAATCCCATTTGTTCGTACCAAATGGCACAATAAGAAATGCAGTATATTAGAAAGCTTTATAATATCTTTTTCTATCTTTTTTCCTCTCTTTCTCTCTCTCTCTCTCTCTTTCTCTCTCTCCCTTCCCCTCTCTTTTTGTTTTCAATATTTTTAAATTGTTAAGTATTTTGCAAAGGGAATTATAAATTGTCGATTGCTATATGTATAAAAATAAATAAATTTTGAATATACATAATTCTAAAATGTATTTATAATATTATATCGTGAAATTCGAAAAATATTTTCTCCTTTCTCTCTCATTCTCTTTATATA